AGGAGATGGACTGGAAGCCCACAGACTTGATCTCTAGCTTGAGCTGTTGCTAACCCACAGTGATTTGATTTTCTTCTATTATGTCTCTGTCTCTGAGTTGGGAGCTGTGTTAGCAGTTTTTTTGTACTAATATTTATTTGTTTATTTATATTGCCAGTAGGTATGTGTGCTTGTCAGAAAGACAGAGAAAGAGGGAGGGAGAGAGAAAGAGAAAGCATCCCCAGTTGGCCTTGGTCATTCTGGGGTCCTTTTTCCTCCTTTTCTCTATCCTGTCTGCATTGTGTTTCTAAAGTCACCGGGCCCATGATTTTAACTGCGTTCTGTCATGGGGTCCAGTCTTCTATGCACAGCACTTAACCACTGCACTCACTACAAAGCTGGCTCTGTGCTAATACTTAGATTTTATGACCTCTACAAAGTAAATACATTCCAACATTAGAACAGATGTATTGAAAGTGAATTCCACTTAAGAAGCCAGAGGTCCTCTAAATGCTTAGAGTAGTCTGGCGATTAGCAACATGGATTCTGAATCCACCTCTTTAGGTGGGTTCAAATCCCTTTTGCATCTTTTACCAATGTGCCTTCCTAAGGAGTTGGGGCAAGTTTTTTAAACTGCCTCATATATAAAGCAGGGCTGCTAGTACTGCGACTCACCTCCTACAGCTTTTACAGAGGAGGGAAGTGAGCTCTGACCCACTTGTCAGCCCTCTGATTAGGTGCCAGATGGTTATCATAAAGGAATATATTTGATCCCATTGTTAACTCATGATTTTCCTTCTTTTTCAAAATACAAAGTGTACTTGGTGTGTGACACTGAAAATCATCTTTAGATTCATTCACTAAATATTCTTTAGTCATGAAATATGAATATCATGAGAAAGCCTTTTGCAGGCTAAATGGAGAAGAACATTTCTGAAGTACTTGCTCTGGGCCAGGTGGGGGTGTGCAGGGTACTCATTTCCTTACTGTAGTGACTCTTCCCAATAACTGTGAAGTGGCTTACAGTGCACCCATTTCCCTGATGAGAATACTGAGGCTCAGATCAGTAGAGAGAATTGCCAGCCTTCACAGATAAAAAATGAAAGAGCCAAGGTTGGAACCAGGTGTGCCTGACACCCCAACTTTTTCCTCTGTGTTGTGCTGTCGTCAGTGATGAGAAACCTCCCACTCCAGGATGGCCCTTACTCAGACTCTTAGTGCCTTCACTGGTAGCCACAGCTCCTCCTTCAGCTTTCCCCCAGGCAGGCCCCCAGGCCCAAGGTAGGATCCTGGGGGAAGTTTCTCAGGGCCCCCTCCCTGCACATTGTGGGCAGGATTGGTGCCTGCCTCAGAAGAGAAGGAGGCCCAACTTCACAGGTGCCTTCTGCTGTCCTCTCCCGTTTCACTCAGTCCTCTACACTGTTCTCCACCTCCCCAGATTGTAACCAGGCCTTTTCCCATGAGGACCCTTTTGAGGCCTTGATTCAGGTAGGTACCATCCTCACATCCTTACCTTGACATTCCAGGTCCCTTGTGATCTGGCCCACTAGGTGTCATTCCTTCCATTTGCACTTTGTACCTTGAACACCAGCATGTGAGACCTCCCTAGAGCAGCAGTTCTCAATGGGGGTAATTCTGCCTCCCTGGGGAACATATAACGTTTATCACTGGTGGATGGATTAGCAATGTCTGGAGACATTTTTGGTTTTCATAGCTAGAGAGGGAATTCTACTGGAATTTAG